ATGTATATGAGTGTTTTACCTGCATGTATATAGGTGCACCATGTGCATGCAATGCCTACAGAGGGCAGAAGGTGTCCAGTCCCCTGGAACTAGGATTACAGAAGGCTGTTAGCCGCCAAGTGGATGCTGGATGAACCTGTGTCTTCTGCAAGAGCAGCAAGTGTTTTTAACTGCTAAGCCATCTCTCCAGCCCATTCCAATCACATTTCAAATAGTGTGAGCCAATCAGGTATGGCTCTAGTCAGACTATGCCCTATTTAGAGCACCTTTCCTCCCCTACCTGCCAGGATAAACCAGTGGACTGATGAACCTGGTCTCAGAAAGAACATGATTGCCAAGGGAGCATGGGCTAAGGTAGCCAGGGAGAAGTATAAGAAAGGAGGTACACTCCTCACCATCTCTGCCATGTGGGTATGGTTCATCCTCCCAAGATCAGACAACTCTGACTTCAACCAAATCAGAACCCTCACCCAGAACATACAGTGGCAACAAGCCCTCTGGAGCAGATGGCCTGCCCCTAATCACAATGTCAGTGAGGAACTTGGAGAAGTATCAGGGCTTTTTATTATTTTCTCCTCCTGTCTTGTTTGTTTGTTTCTGCTTCTTCTAAATCTTATCAGATAATAAGACACAGAGAGACTCTCAGAGTGGTTGTGCATCTTTGCAAGAACCTAAAAGTACAATTTAGACAGAAGTATAGGAATAAGAGAAATGATTCTCTCAAACTTTAGGTGAAAGAAGACAAAGCTGCTTAGCTGTGGTAGAAAGTGGTAGTTATGGCCTACATGTAATTCAAGTATTCAGAAAGCTGAGATAAGGGAGTTTCCATGAGATCGAGGCCAGACTGGGTTACTGAGACCCTGCTGAGAGAGGGAAAGAGAGAGAGAGAGAGAGAGAGAGAGAGAGAGAGAGAGAGAGAGAGAGATCTCTTATATAAGAAAGTTAACATTTACTGAGTGCTTGCTGTATACCAAATATGTCTCTGTAGATGATCTCTTTGTAATCCTCACAAGAACCCTTGTGCTAGGTGTGGTGGTATACACTAGTAATCCCAACACTTGGATGATAAAGGTAGAAAGATCAGGAGTTCAAGGACATCCTCATCTACACTGCAAGTTCAAAACCAGTCTAGGCTACATGAGACCCTGTCTCAAATGAACAACAACAAAGGAACCCTTGAGTACTTGAAAGTAGCCATCAATTATCTTTAATTTGTAGGTGAGGAACTGGGGTTCAGAGAGACTGAGTCATTTGGCCAGGGTTACATGAACAAGAAGTTTAACCAGGTTCTAGCCTAGGTTGTCTGAGTTCATAATAGTGCATTTTAACCATCACATATATACAGCCCTTCTCTAAGTACTACCTGGCCTCCTGGCACTACTATATGCACCTAGCATGGTGTTTCTTGACGAACAGATGATGGCTTACTACTATCAAGAGTCTCTCATAATCAGTGAGCTAATAAAGGCTTACTGAACATGGTTCTCTGGCAGGTCCTGTGCAAAGTGCTATAATTATAATACTAAATAAAATGAAGTCTCTGCCCTTCAGGAGCTTACCATTTTAGACCAGTAGACAGTGGCTAAGCACAAACAAGACAGTTTCTGCTAGTAATAAATGCTCAAGAAAGCAAAACAGAATATTGGGGCTGGAGAGAGCTCAACAATTAAGAGCACTAGTTGTTCTTACAGAAGACCCAGGTTCAAATCCCAGCATCCACATAGCAGCTAACAACTGTCCATAACTCTAGTTCTAGGGGATCTGATGCCCTCTTCTGTCCTCTAAGGGTGCTTCATGACATGGGTGCACTTACATGCAGGCAATACATACAAACACATAAAATAAAAATAATAAAATCTTTTTTAAGTTATATAAATAAGTAAAACAATATACAATAGGTGGCCAGGCGTGGTGATGTGCACCTTTAATCCCAGCACTCAGGAGGCAGAGGCAGGCAGATCTCTGCAGTTCCAGGCCAGCCTGATCTACATAAGCAAATTCTAGGGCTACATAGGGAGACCATGCCTTGGGGTGGGGGTGTCTCTCTGACTGCCATGTAGAGAATAGATTGCAGAACAGGTGTACAGACGTGAAACCAATTAAAAGGTGGTTACATTAGTCCCATTGGATAATGTTATAAAGGGATCATATTCTGGGTAAAATTTGGAGGAAATAGTAGGATGAAACAGTTTGAATTTGGAATGCTGAAGAGACAAAGGTATCAAGGATAAGCCCTGAAATTTGCCCCCTGAGTAACTTGTGTAAAAGGTTATGATGCTGTTTATTGAGATGAGGGAAACTTGAGGAGGAAAGGATAGTATTGCATTTTGTTTCTGTTGCAGTTAAGATGCCTCTTAGTCACCGAAAAAGAGACATTAAAGAGGTAGCCTGGAGCTTGGATGTGAAAGCTATTTTATACAGGACAGGTAAAATCAAGCGGGAAGAGTGTGGAGGAAGAGAGCCTTGTGTTGTTGGGAAGAAAATGAGCTAGGGAAAAGTAGTTGAGAAGGAATGGTCAGGGGGGCAGGCAGGGCGTCAGAGAAGGGAGGGGCTCCAGTGGCGTCAAGGCTGCAGAGATGCTGAGTGCGGTAGGAGAGAATATGAAGTAGGCTAATCTCTAAAGTCTACAGTATCAAGGGCTTGCAGAGAAGTGGGACAGAACTTGAAACTTGAGTTCAGGGAGGCATTTTGCTTTTTGCCTTTCTTCCATGGGCAATAATGAACCTGCTTTTCAGTGATGACAAAGGTCCAGTAGAGAGGGAGACGAGATCATGGAAAAGAGAAAGGTTAATGCAAAGGGATGAACTCAAGAAGGTAAGAGGAAGTGGAGGTCTAGGCCTAAGTATGAGTTGGAGGTGTCAGGCAGGAAGGAGAGGACATGGCGGGAAGGAGTTGTAAGAAGTAGGATGCGAGATGGGCTTGGCTGCTCTCTGCATCTGTGCTCTCAGTCGTTAAGGACATTGGCTGTTCTTGCAGAAGACCAGGTTCAAATCCAGCACCCGCATGGCAGCTAACTCCAGATCCAGGGAATCCAACACCCTCTTCTGTCCTCTGCAGGTATTGCATGACATGAGTGCACTTATATACATGCACATAATACATGCATACACATAAAAGAAAAAGAAAAAAAACACACAGTAGGGTGTTTAGGATGAATGAATGCCCTATAATGTGCCCCTCTGGTGCTATGGGCCAGGGACTGAGACACAATAGTAACATCACAGAGGGAGCTGAGCTCAAGAGGAGGAAATAGCAGAGGCTTTACTGCTGTTCCCAGTCTCACCAACTGTTAATCCTAGTAACTGACTCTCATCACCCCAGTTCCTTTTATTTTGTCTCCTGTCTTTTCCAGAAGCCTGTTGAACTAAGCTGAATGAGAACAGAATTCCCTAACACCCAATAATGTCACAAGAAAGACAGAAGGGGAACTGAACTATGATTCTGATGTCTTTAAACCTTAATTATGCAGCCTTTTATTCAGTATTCATATCCACAGAAGTCTGTATCTCTTACATAAAGGTTTGTAACTGAGGCCGGATGTGGTGGCGCATGTGGTGCCTTTGATCCCAGCACTCAGGAGGCAGAGCCAGGCGGATCTCTGTGAGTTCGAGGCTAGCCTGGTCTACATAGCAAGTTCCAGGCCAGCTGGGGCTACAGGGAGACCCTGTCTCAAAAATACCAAAAGCAAAAATAGATTTGTAACTTTATCGCCTAAGCAAAAAGTCCTTAACCAGGTAAGAAAAGTTTAATCTATAGTCTTATTATTATGAATAAGTATTATTTTTATAACTATTATCAAAACACTAAGCTGGAAGCTAGGTGTAGTGGCATATGCCTTTAGTCCCAGCACTTGAGAGGCAGAGGCAGGTGGATCTTTGTGAATTTGAGGCCAGTCTGGTCTACATAGCAAGTTCTAAGCTAGCCAGAGCTAGTGAGACTCTGTTGCAAACAAAACAAAACAAAACAAAACAAAAAACACTAAGTGGGAAGGCATCCCTGGAAATGGAGGAGACTAGAGAATACCGTGGCCTCTGGAGCATACAAATCACTGACTACAATTTCTTTCCTTTCGTGTACTATTTGGTGAAAGAACTGAGCTCTAAAGCCTTTCTTCTATCTAGGAACAGCCAGAAGATTAAATTTTCACTAGAGAAAAGACACTCAGAAAGGAAGAGAGCTGAACACAAATACTTGTGAGGCCGAGCCAGCCTGAGTTCCAATAACCCAACACTACACTTGTTAATTTGATAAGTTAACAGAATCATGTTCTAATCAAGGTCTATAAGTAAGACTAAAGACTGGAATATATTAAGGATATCTTTAATTTAAAAGATAAGAAAAGTGCCAATTAGACATAGAACTTAGCATTACTTCAATTTAGTGTTTTGGGGGGGGGTGAGACAGGGTATTATGTGGCCCAGACTGGCCTTGAACTCCTGATCCTGTTGCGTCTACTTCCCAAGTGCTGGTGGCATGTGCCACTGTGCCTGGTTACTAGCTATTTTTATAGTTTTGACTTTTGTCTAAAATGGGGGCTGCTGGGAGTAGTGATGCAACGGGTTGGGCGGGGGAGGGGGGAGGGTGGTGTCAGAGGCAGGAGGATCTCTGTGAGTTCAAGGCCAGCCTGGTCTACATAGTGACCAGGCCAGCTGGGGCTACAGGGAGACCCTGTCTGAAAAAGGACAAAACAAAACAAAACAAAAACTGGGTAGAGTACAATGACAGTCTGTTTCCTCATACAAACTGGCCACATCACTGAAGTCCCAGCCAGCCCTCATCATTCTGAGTGGGGAGAACCTGGGGAACATGTGAAACTCCAAACAAATTGATGAAACAAATGACATCCCAGGACTGGTGGGAACAAGGTTGTATTCCCTCAGGTTCCTAGATCAGTGTATGTGAGTTAATGATAATTTTAGGGTGGGAGCAGATAGGGGCAGGAGAAGAAGAGTCCTCCAGGGGTTGACTTCTTGCTGTAGTAACTGACTCTCAATGCAGACATGGTCCAGTATTTCATCAGGCGGTACTTCAAAATCTCAGTGGTTATCGTATTCCTGTGGCTCTTCATCACTCTGAAAATCCCTGAGGAAACTGAATATGGCCAAAATCTGGTGACTATTATTGGGAAATTGGGTGGGAATGTTAAGGACAGGCAAATTGCCAAAGGTACCTGTGCTTTCCTTCTGTACCTTTCCACATGACAGCAGAAGGTTCCAAGTGGAATTAATGTGTGACTCTGGACCCATTAGTCCATAACAAGCTGCATATATTTTTCATGTTTTTTAAGGTAAGGGAGGAAACAAATACTGTCTGAGTCATGGATCTTTTAACCAATGGCTAGGCATTGTGCTTAGCTTACTCTAGGAGAATGAGTCACTCTACCTCCTTCCCTAAAAATGCCTATGGGAAGTCAGGAGGAAGACAGGCTATTCTTTTTATAAAAGGATTTACCTTTTTGCCTTTGTCAAAGGCCCAGGTTGTGAGTTATGGCAGTAAGAAGACCACTAGATCATTAGAAGACTGGAAGGCCATCACCTTCAAATATCTGGAAAAAATTCAGCAGAGAAGAAAGAGTAAGTGCTGAGGAGAGGAAGGGATTGACTATCCCAGGGGGAGTAAGAGAGAGGGAAGGCAAGTAGGAAGGAAGGGGAGGAAAAAAGACACAGCTGTGTCCAGGAATTTGAATCTGACGGATAATTTTCTCCAGGGTCCCAAGATGTTTATGTATCAGGGGAATGACAGAGAGACAAGACAGTTGTTTTAAATTATTTAAAATTTTTTATTTTAAGTATATGAGTGTTTTGCCTGCACGTATGTAAGTGTACCATATGCATACAATGCCTGCAGAGGGCAGAAAAGGGCATTAAATCCCTTGGAACTGGAGTTACAGATTGTTGTTAGCCACCATGTGGGTGCTGGGAACCAAACCCAGGGTCCTCTGCAAGAGTAGCCAGTGCTCTTAACTGCTGAGCCATCTCTCTAGCCCCAAGACTATTATTTTAAATAGAATCAGAGGCTAGAGGGATGGCTCGATACTTGCTGTTCTTTCAGAGGACCCAAGTTCAATTCCCAACATCCACATCGGGCTCTCAGGAATCTGATGCCCTTTTCTGGCCTCTGTGGGCACCAGCACCCATGCATCTAACACTCTGGTATGTACATACACATAAATAAAAATAAATCTTGCCAGGCATGGTGGTGCTCACCTTTAATCCCAGCACTCAGGAGGCAGAAACCAGCCTGGTCTACATAGAGTTCCAGGCCAACTGGGGCTACAGGAATACCCTGTCTCAAAAAGACAAAGAAAAAAACCAAAGAAGAAAAAAATCTTTAAAAATAGGTGGAATCAATATATTAATCACATATTATAACACATTTCTGGACATTGCTCATCTACAAGACCGTATATGTTGTTCACACTGGTAAACAAGGAACATGACTCCTTTATGTAACTTAATATTTGAGCCTGCAGTTATGATCGTACCATAGGAATGGGTGGTTATGAGGTTACACTTTATGGGGGGATGATGAAATATACCCCCACCTTGTTTTCATTTTCATCTCTTTCTTTTTAAAATAATTTTTGAGACAGGTCTCACAACTATATAGTCCTGGTTAGCCTCAAACTTGCTATATAGTTCAGGCTTGCCTCGAACTCAGAGATCCACCTGCCTCTACCTCCTGAGTGCTGGTTATTTATTTATTTTTAAACATATATGTATGTGTGCCTCTGTGTGTGTGTGTATGTGTATGTGTGTATGCCACAAGTGTGTGGGTGTCATAGAGGCCAGAAGAGGCAAGAGCCAGAATTACAGGTGGTTGTAAGCCATCTGACATGGGTGCTGGGACACAACTCAGATCCTTTGAAAGTGCAGCAAGTGCTCTTGACTGCTAAGCCATCTCTCCAACTTGCCAGACCTGATTTTTTAACAATGTCTCACTATATAGTCTAGGTTGGCCTCCAACTCACTAATGTACCCCAGGCTGGCTGAGTGCTGGGATTACAGGTGTGCACTACCACACCCAGCAACTATGTAGCTTTGTGGCATTTAAATAAAAGGGAAAAGAAATTAAGAGAAGTATTAAAAATAAGAGTTATGGCTGGGATAGTCTACATGTATTTTTAGGCAGATGAATTCAAGGACTAAACAAAATATGTAAGAATGAAAAGAAAATGGAATCACTGGAGGGAAAAAAGTAAAGCTAGTCCTAAGAAAGAACAGTCACTGGATTAAGGAACATTTGGGACAGAATAGGTCTTAAACTACAGATCCCAACTCCTCTGGCTGTATGGGTTTTAGAACTAAACTCAGGGGTGAAGGGACTCATTCAAGATCAATCAGTGGAAGCACTAGAAAAAAATCCTTGGGCTCCTGGGCTGGGCATACAGACCAATGGGAGGTTGACTGCTTGTCCAGAGTGCATGTGAGAACCTGTGTTCAAGCCCCAGCACCTGAAAAAAAGAACACAACAAAAACCTTGGGCTCCTGACTGCTAGAAAAAGTCCTTTTCTTATTTATTTATTTATTTATTTATTTATTTATTTATTTATTTATTTTTTTGAGACAGGGTCTCCCTGTAGCCCCAGTTGGCCTGGAACTGAGACTTGTATACTGAACAGTTATGACTAGTGATTTTCCAGCTACAGATTTTATTTATTTATTTATTTATTTTGGTCTTTTTGAGACTGGGGTCTCCCTATACCCCCACCTAGCCAGGAACTTGCTATGGAGATCAGGCTAGCTTTGAATTCACAGAGATCCACCTGCCTCTGCCTCCCAACTACTAGGATTAAAGGCATGTGGTACCACACCTAGCAAGCTTGTTATTTATTTTTTAAACATGGTCTTGCTGACCTGGAACTTGTTATGTAAACCATGTGTTAAACTCACAGAAATCTGCCTGCCTCTGCCTCCCAAGTGCTGGGACTAAACACATGCTACCACATCTGACTAAAAGCCCTTTTTTCTAATATACCTTCTTCAAAGGGGACCTTGGGAAGATGAGTTGGGTTAAAGCAAAAAGAACTATAATGACTACAAGAAGAGCTAATAGTTATCAAGTACTTCAACCATGTGCTTTCAAGCTTAAGTTTAGAAGACAATAGGAACTGGACATGGTGGTACACACCTACAATCTAAACACTTTGTAGGCTGAGGTAGTAGGACTGCTGTGAGTTCGAGGTCAGTTTCATACAACAGAGTGAGTTCCAGGCCAGCAAGGGCTACATAGAAAAGAAGACCCTACCTGAAAAAAAAAAAAGACTCTGAAAGACCTATAGGGATTCAACAGCACCTAGCTTTGTATTTCCCCAACTCTAATATGCATACAAGTGGCATGGTTAAAAACAGATTCTGAAGAAGGGATCAAGATTCTGGATGTTATTAGAATTTACAGATGAGGTTGATATTGCTAGAATAATGACCGCACTTAGAATAGCAAGAATGTATACATTCCCTCTGCCAAAGAACAGAGAGAAGATTCCAAGCAGCATTTCCCAATCTTATTTATTTATTTGAGTGGGGGGGTGTTGCCCACCAAAGGCATGGAAGGGTTCTGGGACCCATATTTCACCCAAACAAGAAACTCTAGTAGGATTTGTTTTACTTGGGCTCATGTAGCTTAGCCTAATTTGGGGGAAACCTTGGTCCCTTCCAAAAGAGGGTGTCAGATCCCCTACCTGAGCTGGAGTTACAGGCCTTTGTAAGCTACTTAACTGATAAACCATCTCTCGAGCTCTACTTCCTAATCTTTTGAACCTGCTTTCTTTCTTCTTTCTTTCCTTCCTTCCTTCCTTTTTTTCTTTCTTTTTTTTGAAATAGAGTCTCACTATATAGCCCAGACTGCACTTGAACTCATGATTCTCCTGCTTCAGCCTCCCTAGTACCAAGATTGGATTATAGATATGTCTCACCATGCCTAGCTCCTCAAATCCTTATGGTCACAGCATACACTGACAGTTGTCTCTATTTTGCCTTTTCTTAGCGTGGTTGACAGTGGGGATCACCTCAAGACAGGATCGACGTGGCCTCTTGGACACATTAGCTTCTCTGTATCATGCCTCTTCTGCATCTGAGAAGGAACAGATCATAGTGCTAGTCCACCTGGCAGATTCTGACTTTATCTGGCTGAAAAAAAACTGTTGCCCATATTTCAAGCCTCTATAGCTCACAGATTTTGGCAGGGCAATTGCTACTGATCCATGCTCCATTTGGTGCTTATCTGACTGTGAATGGTGTCCAGAATGAGACCTACACTGGGCAGTTCTACTCAAAGCAGAATATAGATCATGCTTTCCTCATGAGCTTTGCCACAAAGCTCTCTACTTATTTCCTGTTAATAGAGGACAATGTTTTTTTGTGCCCCCAGTTTTGTCACCGACATTCACTCAAAAGTGACCACCATGAAGTCCAACACATGGGTGCTGCTGGAGATCTCTAATATGGGCATCCTTGGCAAACTCTTCCACAGCAGGGACCTTCCACTCCTGACCCATTTCCTGCTTCTCTTCCACAAGGAGAGACCCCTCGACAAGCTGATCCTTCATTTCCGTACCCTCCTGGCCCAGCAAAACTCAATCCTCTGCAGACCATTCCTCTTCTACCACAAGCTATCCCACTCCACCAGTAATAATAAGACCAAAATAACTCAGGAAAAAATCCCTTATGGTCCTGATACCCTCCCTGGCGCTGTTTTCACAAACATGGAAGTCTCTGATGTTCATGTCCCCTGGGAGGCTAACAGTCTGAATGACTTATTCTTTTGGACCTACAATGTTAATTCAGAGAATCACTTGACAGTGATTTTGAACTGTCCAGCCAACGTGAGAAGAGTGCAAGTGAGAACAGGCTCCGTTGCAGAAGGAAAGTACATCCTGGCAAAAGGACAGGTGGAGCTGGGCTACAAGCCTGAGGGGATGCCTCAAAACTGTACCAGGTTTACCCTGCTGGGCTACCTCATGCAAGGGCAGATGGACCAGGAGATCATTCTGAAGAGCATGAGGTACCAAGTGAGCTGCATAAAGCTGGTAGTAAACGCTAAGCAGACTGGTGGTCTCATGATCAGGAATATCTACCTCTGGAAGGAAAAAAAAGTTGATCAGAGTTGATGGTATATCAAAGTATGAAAAATTAAAATCTTGAAGCCATTTCACTGTGGCGTGAGTGTCATAGGAGAGATCCAAGGGAACAGTTTTCATCCACCTGGTGCCAACATGTTAGGAGACATTCTTTCCTTTCTCACCCAAACTAGCAGCTCTAGTAGGATTTGTTTTACTTGGGCAGATGTAAAGATGTAGATCTGGGGAAAGGCCTTGGTTCCTTCCAGAGCCTTTACATTCTTGGGATGCTTGGATCTGCCCAAATAGACTGTGTATACATGTAACTTATATGTTCACACAGAGGTAGGGGTAAGGGATAATGTAGAAAGAGGGTGAGTGTGGAAATCACAGGGAACTTTCAGTGCTGGGGATGACACTCAGGGCCCCAAACATGCTAAGCAAACACTCTGCTATTGAACTACTCTTGGCCCGAGGGAGTCCTTAGGATTAACACAAGAAATTAGGAAAGAGGACCAGCAAGATAGCTTAATGGGTCAAAGTGCTTGCCATGCAAGTCCAGTAACTTGAGTTCTAGCCCTGGAACCCACAGACTCCAGAAAGTTGTTCTCTGACCTCCAGGTACATGCTGTCACGTGCACGCAGTATAATGATAAAAGAAATCAAAAAAGGGACATTTTTCCTTGAAAAAATTTTGTCTTTGTGCCAGGCTTGGTGGCCCATGCCTTTAATCCCAGCACTCAGGAGGCAGAGGCAGGCAGATCTCTGTGAGTTTGATGCCAGCCTAGTCTACATAGCGAGTTCTAGGATAGCTGGAGCTACAGGGAGATAAGCCTCAAACTTGAAATCCACCTGCTTCTACCTCCTGAATGAGTGCTGGGATTATAGGAGTGTGCCACTATATATGCGTGTGTGTGTGTGTGTGTGTGTGTGTGTGTGTGTGTGTGTATAATAGGTAAGTAACATATATATAAGAGAAGTTACCTGGAAACCCATGAATTGACAGAATGCTATGACCTAGCTCCTGCTTGAGACCAGCAGGTCCTGTGTTACCTCTTATAATCACAGGGAGGCTCCCCAGCTGAAGGAGGTAGCATCAGAGAAACCTCACTGAAGTCACCACCAAGCTGCCAGCAGTGCCCAGCTATTCCTCTGAGCTTGACATCTATTCTTCTACTCCACTTTTGACCAACCATCTAGCCTATTGAAATTGAGGCACCCAAACATCCTCTCGCACCTAGCCTGTCCTCAGATATGGCTTCTGGGGACATAATAAGGCTGAGGTGATAGGAAACTGATATGAGTATTAGAGGTGTCCTCCTTTGGGACCAATAACTTGGCCCTGGTCACTCTGATAGGAGGCCCTGGGTGGTGGCCAAATGGAAGCACAAGCCCCCATCCTGTCTGGAGGATCCCTTCAGGTCAGTCCAGCACCTATTGTTACTACTGACTTCTTTCTCTTTGTGCTGCCCACATCCTTTTTCAAAAGCAGATGCTGGGGCTGAGGAGATGGTTCTGTGGTTAAGAGCACTTGCTGCTCTTGCAGAGGACCTGGGTTCAGTTCATAGCACCTACATGGTGGCTCACTGCCTATTAACTTCAGTTCCAAGGGATCCAATGCCCTCTTCTGGCCTCTATGGACACTGCATGCATGTGGCACACTTACATGGAAGCAAAATACATAAAATAAAATTAAAATTGAGTCAGGTGTGGTGGCACATGCCTTTAGTCCCAGCACTCAGGAGGCAGAGGCAGTTGAATCTCTGTGAGTTCAAGGCCAGCGTGGTCTACATATTGAGTTCTAGGCCAGCTGGGGCTATAGGGAGACCCTGTTTCAAAAAGTCCAAAATAAATAAATTAATTAAATTTAATTTTATTTTAAATTCAAAAGCAGGTGCTTCACAGTTTTCTGAATTGCCTTTTAGAGGAATGGCACTTATATTTCTTGGTAGCTCCTGCTGAGAATGGCCATGGCCAGGCGAGACAGGCTCTGGTTGCCCAGGTGAGTCTGGGGAAACTTTAGAGTCCATCACTCCTAGAGACTGGAGAGAAGCCTAAATGGATGATGAGTACCACAACTGAGAACCCCGCCGCAGCACTCCCCACCAACCCCAAGTAATAATTATCTGCATGCCTTTTTATAGAGACAAGGTCTCTGTATCAGAGGCTGTACTGGGCTACACAGTCCAAGATAGCTTCAGATTCACAGGGAACCACCTGCCTTAACCTCTCTAGCATTTGGATTACAGACATGTCCAACCCCCTTTTTATTTCATTATTTTATTTTTGTGGTAAGATCAACCCAGGGTAGTATAACTCTTCTTCCAGGTTTTTCATTCATCCAAACCTATTGAGTTTCTACTAAGTGCACCTAGGAAGGGAGTCTCAGTGCTAATGATGCTAGGTTCTGGTGGGTAGTGGAATAAGTCAGACTCTTTGGTTACTAAGATTCAATGGGAAGTATAAAAGCTTTGGTGTCACCCAAACATGGGTTTTAATTCCAGGTCTACTTATTAGCTAAAAGATCTTATTAAAGATATTATTTAACCTCTCTGAGCTCTTAGTTTCCCCACCTGTAAAACAGCGTTCCACCAACCAGGCAATGTTGGCAGGTGAGTGAAAGGAAATCCTATATGTAAGGCAAGTGGTAGATACTCAGTGGTTATTAATCCCGGGACCCTCTTCTACCCATACCTACCACAGAGGTGTCAGCAGGCTCTTGTTCTCTGCTAAAGCATCTGCAGGGCTCCAGGGCAGTTGTACACTCAGCTTTGGCCTTCAGGCTCCCCCAGGCATCCTGTTCACTGGGCTTAAAGAGGGAGCCTCAGACAGGCCCAGGCAGATAGGATGCCAGCCCTGCCCCAAGTGGGAGGGGAAGGGCAAGTTTTTCCTATAGAAAGGCCTTAAAGAGAGTATGATTCTACACCTTCTGGTTGGGTTACTTTAAGAAACTTGGACAGCCAAGATGTAATGTTGTCACAGAGAGGGCTTTGAGACAGTACAAAGAAATCCAGGTTGTCTGGGTCTCCCACAAGCAATGTCACCTTCCCTCCATGTGAGTGCAGATGGGCATCTGCCTGGTAGAAGAAACAAGGGTGGAGTGATGTGGTCTGGATATATGAGAGATCACTGCAGCCTAGGATTCCAAATGTCAGACAGATAACATCTCCACAGGGTTGCTGTGACAATCAAACATGACTAATATGTAAGGGCTTAGAATTGTAAAGCAAAAAAAAAAGTATCAATGTGGCCATAACATTACCCAATTTAAAGACTTTCAGAGATGTCCCCAGAGCTGTTGGGCTCCAAACATTTTTAACACAGCCTTCAGCCACCTTGTTGGGCTTATGGCTAACCACTGTGTAAACCATGGTCCTTGCAGCTTTCTGTGAGCCTGAGCTCACGCTTGCCTTTTTTCTGTTGCATGTGCTGTTTTATGACCTGAACTCCTTTGGCTAACCACTTGTCCTCAGCTTCTTTACCCACCTCCCACCCAAGGCCAGGCCCTCTGTTACTTATTTCCTTTGAAACTTCATCTTCCATTTTGCACACTTCTATGACTGTTTAAGGTTCATAAACCCTCTCCTCAGACCCCAAATAATGTTTCCTGAGGACAGAAACTGCATACCTATTTTGTTCATTGGTATATATTTGAGGCCTCACAGAGGATCTGACACACAGTAGGCATTTTATCTGCTGAAAGAAAAAGCAACAGAATCAGAGACAGCACCACTTCCTTTCTTCACTCCCCTTAATCCCAAGCCTGAGAGAGACACAATTACAAGCCTCCCCAACCCAGACACTCAGCTAAGTGCCTGTCTTGTCTATCAGAAAAATTCAGTTTTTTCCCCTGTGTCCCTCAAGAGTCAAAATTTTAGCCACATTTAGCAGATTGCTTTCTGTGACCCTGAAACTTAGCCCATTTACTATGTCACCTTAGTTTCAGGTTTGGGCTGTTCTGTGAATTTAATATTCACCTGTCATCAAACCACCTTCAGACTGCCATATTCTTTCTGTTAACCATGGGACATCTGGTGTTCCAGAACTAGCTGTGGGTTGGTCTAGATGTCAGACTATGGACAAATTTCTGCAACAATTTTTCCACCTGTAATATAGGGATACTACTTTACAAAATGGCTGGAATCATGAGGTATACAAATTACCATCTGTGCCAGACGCTGTGCTAAGCATTTCTAGTGCCCTCCTCGGTACAGCTCAGTGCAACAGGATCCATTTATCTTATTTTACATTTGAGGTATAATTGAAGCATGGAAGGCGGGTGAAACACATGGCATGCTCACACCACTATTAAACAGATGTGAACTTGGACAAGCTCCTGCCAGAGTCCCAGCCTCCTTCCCAACAGCCATGCTCTGGCACCCTCTGTTCTTTCAAGTAAGGGGCAGGACAGGTGCTAAGTAAGTTGAGGTTATCTAGATCCAAGTTCGGTCAGCAGCTGTTGTCTTCCAAATCTCATTTAGAGCTTGTGCCTTTGCGATTATGTCTAAGACAAGGACGCAGAAATTCTTTCCTGAGGAATGAACGTCCACCTCCTTCGCCACTATAACTATCTTAGTAGCCACAGGGATGATGGAACAAGAAGCAATTACAGGGCTGGTGATGTAGCTCCATGTTAGAGTGTTTGCCTAATGTATACAAGGCCTTGGATTCAACCCCCAACACAGGTGTGTTTACAGGCTAAGGTGTGGTTCTGGCAATTAAAATGTATTCAAAGACGTGGCAGGAAATTGAGTCAATGAACTTGACTTCAAATATGCCAACTTCAAGAAGTTAGGGAACATTTTTAAAGCTGTATTTTGTTTGGGCTATGAGTATTAGATTAAGGAAAAAATTTTAAAGTATGCACCTACCATCTGATCCCGCTGTTTCCTCAAATGCCTGAAGCCCTAGAGCAGTGGTTCTCAACTCTGGCTGGACATTGCTTCATTCTGGAAGGTTATTTTTAACAGGGGGAGGAACTAGGGCAATGGCTCAGCAGTTAAGAGTACTTGCTGCAATGCAGAGGTCACAGGTTCAATTCCCAGCACCCA